AAATGAAGGTGCTGATCCTCTGCTTGGTATCTGTGAGGGCACAAGGCAATAATAGTTTTGATGGGGACACTGGTGCTCTCCCAATGAGCACCAGCAGCAGTGACAAAGGTGAGGAATCTTCAGAAATCCTGGAAACTGAGGACACCGATGAGGATACCAGAACGAAGGAGAAGCATGAAAGGCCCATGTGATGGCCGTAGGCGATGGGCAAAATTGTTTCTTCGGGAACCCTGAAACATCACAGCAAGCTTCAGTTCTGCTAAGTAAGTAGGGACAAGAGACAGTCAAATTTAGGTTACTATAATTCGTGTGACCTTATCTGTTCTCATTAACTGATAAGGCCTATGGAAATTTGGGTTATCATCTTCTGGCAAGGGAGAAGACTGTATGGCACGCTCATTCTCATGGCTGAGTTTTCTTCTCAGATTTATGTCACTTCGGGATTGGTTAGTTGCGAATAAATTATTGTAAACACAGTAGTGGGAGGGTTGTCTGAATTAATGTGGAGGAGAAAATAATGGTGAGAAGAGCTTTAATTACAGTTGACTCTGGTAATTCCAGGAGGATTATTCAGTTTGTGTGTCACTCAGGTCCCTTGCCTTTTACCCACCAGCCATTTCACCACTTAAAGGTCTTTTATCCCTAGGATAGGCAGATAATAGAAAGGATGTGGAATTAAAAATATTCTAGTGCGCTCTAGTCAATGATCACTGCAGTCAGAATACAGAGAACAGAAAATCCATTTGTGAGCTTATATTTTCCATATTAACAACCCTCTCCATCAGAAAATTTCCTGCAACCGCTAAATCAAGATTAGTTTTCAGGGATGATGTGTGACTTAATTTTCCTCTATTATTATATTACACATTAACCATCACGAAAGGGAGCAATAACTGCTCTACTTGGTTTTGGATAAGCTAGCAGGATCCCTTCTTCCTGGAAAAAAGCCAAAGCTAGACAAAATTGACAAGCAACTGTAAGATGATGGTACCATCAGACTCCAATAGCTTTTCACGGTAGAGGATCCAGTCATCTTGGCAACACTCAGCCAGAAGAACCAGGCTTGCTGTTCCTTCTGTGTATAGCAGATGCAGGTGGGTGCAACTTATAGCTCAATGATGGGATGCTAGAGCCAGGGCTAGAGCCCCTATAGGGCATGTGCTAATGGCAAAGGTGTCAGCAACCAACTGGTCCTCACTTACCTTTGCCTACATTGGGCCGTTTTTTCAAGGACAAAACTCACTGCAGTCAACTCTAGCTTGTGGTATCGCAGGGAGGATCCGGGTGTTGCAGACATGGCTTTCCTCCCATTGCCAGATCAGAAGGGTGGAGGAGAGGCTGGCAGGGTAACAAGAATGAATTGGCAACCCAAGTTTCAGCTTCTATCCGGAGCTGCTTGGTGTAGGTAAGCATCTGGAGAAGACAGGTGAGATTACTAACCCAACAGATATGTCTCTGGAAAATTCTAAGTTGGAGAAAATTGGGAAGAAGAGGGGTCAGGGGAAGAATGGAGAACTGCATAAAGAGAGACCAGCCAAAGTGGTTCAGGGTCCAGATGAATATCTGAGTTTGAGGAATGATGAAAATATTGTATTAAATTCTATTTTAGGTTCCTGTGCCAAGCACATTGACACAGGATAGGGTTGAAAGAAATTAGACAAGAGCTCAATGACAAATTGAAATAACATCAGTAAGTAACAAGTCAGAGACACGGCTGTCTTGCTTTAGTCTGGTGATGCTCCCTCTCAGAAACAGAGAGTATGTTCTGAGACAGGCTGGTAAATACTGCAGATCCTGATGGCTGTTTGGCTACGTTAAACCCATTGGCATTGTAAAGTACAGAGATGGGCACATCACCTCTTTGCATCTGACTCACACACAAACTGAATGGACCTCGTAATGACCACCTTAGTCAGATACTATTTTGAAATTTAGTGCAAAGGCTAGTGCTTTAGGGATGGCACTTACTCTGAGTCACAGGAAAACCATCCCAGAAGCTAGGTGTACACAACAATGATCAGGTGCGTGGACAGGGTGTAGACTGTACCTATGGAGAGACTTTAAAGTCTAACAGTAAGGTCTTTAGGGAAAAAAATCAGTTTCAAAAGGCTTGCTCAGTCATTAGATAGTGGTAAATCAGGTTGGGGGGCTGCTAGAGGGAACACCGTGATCCCCGTCAGTCCCCCTGGGTTTTCGGGATTTTATTCTTTACCACACTGCCCCACACTGTTTTGTTTACCCTTGGCTCAGGGTCCCAGCCCATCCACCATCAAAACCTGCTCTCAGGCAGAGATCAATTAATCATATGTAATATGTTGTGATCCTATCACTGAGACATCTTATTTCTTTATATTTTTTGATTGACTTTTTAAAAAATTATGAACTATAACTTGGATACATCAAAATTAATTTAATATACGCCTGCAGCTTAACAAATAGAACATTGCCAGGACCTCTGAAGCCTCCCTCCCCCATCCTTTTACCAACAAATTCTCCCCTCCCCACTAGAAGAAAGTAGAAGCAGTCACTCCCTTAACATAGCCTGCCCACCTGTGCAAGCATCCTGAAAAATGCACTTTTGCTTGGCCTGTTCTTTTCATAAAGGAAACCCTACTGTGAATTCCTTGATTCCTGACTTATTTGGTTCTGAAGCCTTGCTTCTGACTGTGCACGAGACACCCCAAATATGCTGAAATCGGGTATCAGTGAGCAGATGGGAGAATATTTGGGGTGTCAGGAATACATTCTTAAGACGGTGAGAATTAAATGGCTGGGTGCTGGTATGGAGCTGGTACGGAGGACTCCTGGTATATGGAGGCCCTTGCGGTGTCAGGGAACTGTGGCTGAAGGAAGGGGATGTGTCCTCGTGGGCATTTCTCCAGGAGGGGGTTTCCAGGATGTGGGGTTTTCTGTGTCAAAACCAGGAAAGTCCCAGGCAAACTGGGTCACGTTAGTCACCTTAGTCCTTGTTCTCAGTCATCTCTTCTCCCTACTGTGAACGCTGGTCTTTCGCTCTCAACTGCCCATTACTCCTAAAAGCTCTTCCCACTGCTCCTGTGCTGACAATCCTTCTGACGAAGCCATTGCGTTATCTGCCTCAGAGAGATGGAGCTGTCACTCCCAAGGGAGAGTAGCGGTAAAACCCAGATTCTGGGAGGTGAAATGCTCCATGAAAATGGCAGAAGTGATCCAGCTTCTTATGTCGTAGGAGAATAGCACACGACACAATATGACAAGGGCAAAGTGGGCACAGAGGGTGGGTGGGGGATTAAAATCATCGAGGGCCTATCCTGCATCCAACACCATGCTGGTGATTATGTACTTACACATATACATATATAAAATATATACATGCATACATGTTAAATGAAAATATACCTTAATTGATCAGAATTCTCATTGTATGGATGGGAAATGGGGGCTCAGAGAAATTAAATTACTTGCTCAAGTTCACACAGCTGGTAGAGCTGCCAAGATGGGATTTAACCTCAATCTAGTATTTTATCCTTCACCTATTTCCAGGTTACCTATGATCTAAGGAGTGAGGAATCAAACTGAGACTGAAAAGCTTATCATGGAGAGCAGCATCTCCTCACTTCCCCCTCCCCTCCCTCTCGGCCTCCCACCTGACAGGAACAGCAACTCCCTACTGTTTTTTTTTTTTAAACTACTTTATGGAGATATGATTGATTTATGGTGATGGTTTCACAGGTGTATACTTGTCTCCAATCTCAGATGCTTTTAATATTTAATGCTTCTACTTGGATCTTTCTGCAAGGCAGCTAAATAACACGCCAATGCTGGTTTTTTTTTTGTTTTGTTTTGAACTTTCAGAGTATCTACTGACTTCTTCTCCTGGAAGGCTGAGGATTCTCTGTCTTGACCCACCCCCTACAATCTCCTCCTAACACCCCTACAGAGACATATCATAAGTTCTGTTTAGCTCAATACATAAGATTTAAATCATTACAACTAAGAGAATATTATCCACAGCTGAACTGTAAAGTGTAGTATGGTATACATTTCATCGTATAAACTTTGTTTTCTCTGGAGTTAATGATTATACTTTTTTCTCATTTTTGTTGCTTATTTAGTTTTCACTAACGTATTCTTCTGATGGAGGGAGAGACACGCCCCCTCATGATGGAAGGACGCGTTTGTCCTTCCGGTAGGCTACTCACCTTAGAGAACTTCCAATGGCCAGGATATTTCATTTTAGGATTAAACATACAATTAATATGAAGGCAGGGTGGGAACTGCTTGCAGGAATAATGTATAACGTAAAGTCAGAAACACTATGTGCTAATTTTAAATAATCTTGAATGTCAACTCTACTTGAAAAATAAAAATTAAAAAAGAAAAGCTTGTGACAATTGTAAAGTTAAAAAAGGAAAGAAAAAGAAACACTACGTAAAGTAAAACCTTATTCCTCCTGAAACAGCCAGCTCATTTACCTCCCTCGAATCCAGTGACCCCCAACTCCTCAGGCAGAGCAGTGCTTTCTCCCCCACTCTGTTCTCCTCACTCCCTCTTCACTCCCCTGGATAATTAAATTTACACGCTAGAATATGAAACCTTGAAGGGGAGGCTCTGCCATACTCCTTGTGAGACACCAGAGTCGGAGGAGGAGGAGGAATCAAACGAACGACCATAACAAAAATCAGTGACTGAGTTTGAAAAGCATACTTTTCCATATATAAAAATACTGGTTGTATCTTGGCGCATGAATATCTACATAGACTATATGAAAATATGTGATGTTAACATCAAATTAAATAAAATGTTGTGCTGGAATTTGATTCATTAAAGAAATAATCTATTTGGGCTACTTCGAATTGGATCTGTAGCTAATATTCTACCCATAGCCATTTTGAATTTACTCTGTAAAAGGCATGAACAGAATTCCACCTTAAGGACATTATTTAAAACTACCATGGCCATCACGAAGGGAGTAGGGAGTGTCTGAGTCAGAGGCTTTATATTTCAGAGTAATGCAAGGAACTCTTTCAGACTCACCCAACCGGCTGCTAACTTCCTCTATGAAGAGAGTAAGGTAAATATTTCTGAAGCCCACAACTTAAAGTCTGGTCAGACACTTTGAATGAGAGAGAAAGGGAGAAATGAATGAATCATGGCTGCTTCTCTGTATCTGAGAGTCTAAACTCATCAAACATCAAAATCATTGCCTGGTCCTGTTCTCAGCTTCTCTGTCTTATGGCTCGTCTGTGGCTGACTTTATGTGGTGTCACGGGGAGGATGGCAGGCACCATCCTGGACAGAGGACCAGAGCCCAGTTCAACACTTCGTGCTCCATCTTGGGATGGAAAAATAGCATTTGGGAAAGTCTGTGAAAATCTAGATTCTACATTTCCAGTGTTCTTATTTAAGGCATTATGGGTTGAAATATACTAATTTTTGAGATTAGTATTGAACTCTGTTAATCTAAGCACAACGAAGTGTTGTCGTATTAGAGATTTATTAAAATTTGAGATGACGTTTTTAACAGAAATGGAAAGATTTAAAAATGCTTCTGTAGGGAAGTAACTATTTATAGCATTACATTTAACTTATATGGTAAGGATAAGAATTAAACATGTTCAATAGAAGTTTTTCATGTTTTCCTCCAATTTGTGTATTTTGATTTGGTAGATATAGGAGGTTTTGTTTCCCTCCCCCCCCCGCCCCCATTCAATAATGTACCATGAAATGTGATTATTTTTTCTTGTATAGACAAAATATTTTGACCAAACATTTAAGACACATAATAACATTGGGCCCATGAAATAATATCATTATACATTTATGTTTTATTGAATGTGCTTTGTCCCTGGTTTTCCTTATGCTTTATTTAAAAATTGTTTTTTCTTTTTATTAGACTTAAAAAAATGCTCTAGTGAGAACATAGTTATTCTTTTGTTTTGACACAAATAGTAGGTTGACTACTGGAAGGAAGGGGTAAAATATTTCTTAGATTAAAATATACCATAAGTTAGCAAATAGATTTCAGGCTTCCGTGGATTTTTAGGTCCTCAAGTCTGATGTTTGAGATTTAAAAACCTTCATGAGTTGTGTTAACTTGAAAATTATAAATTAATTACATATCTATCTATTAAGCTAAATTATTTATATAAGGAACATTTTTAGTGAAATGAAAAATGAATCAAAAACCAAGTTCTTAAGATACGAAAATAATTTTCCTTCATTGCTATGTCCAGACAATGACATACGAGGTAATATCATACTGATATCTTTTCTGTAGCTTAAAGTAATTTATTTTCCTTTTCCCTTTTCTTTAGTTATTTAGTTAGGACCCAAATCATCAGGTATGTATTGATGGCTTGTTTGAATTTTGTTTATTTTTATTGGCGTTCTGTTTATTTTTAAAAGAGTTGTTTTGAACAGTAATTATAGGAAAAAGAAAAAAAAAATCTCAGTTTTGGTACCAAGTTAATATTTATTTATCTGTCACCTGATGAAATCCTGGGTGTAAAACAATTAAGTCAGCCTTGAATGTAGTTATCTATTTGCCAGTGGGATTCAGACTTCAATATCAGATGAGAAGAAAAGAATCTTGCTTTCATTTCTGGAACCTACAGTACATCTGCATAAAGATTATAAAAGCAATTACGTGAGGTGAACATACCTTTTGGTATTTATTTTCTAAGTACATGTTTGTACAAGAATGCTTAAAAATACATTATCTCGTGCCATTTATCATTTTAAAAGCCATCACTTGAGAATTCATCATGGTCTAGTAACGTCTCCGTTCATGTTTCTCTGTAATGATTATTTTTCTAGTACGGTTTCTCTGCCATAAAACTTACCTAAGTGACAAAAATATGTACTCGATTGCTTGCATACATAAAATCCTCCGTAGCTTCTCTTCTCTTAATATGATTACAATTTTGTGGAAAGTCACCAGGATGATTAAAAGATTAGACAATGAAAATTTGTGATTCTTACTTAGAAAGTGATTTAAAAATGACTTTGTAAAGGTGTTTTCACTTTAGGGGTAAAATAGTAAAACAGATTTGTAAAGCAACAAGATAAATTGGAACCTGACCAAAGAAAAATGTATTGAAAAGCATGTTCTTGTGCTTTGGGTTATGATACTACCAAGTAGCTTCCAGACCACATTGGACCAACAAGGCAGGTTCCCAAACAGGGTCATTTAAAAATCTTTCAGGTCCTCCCCCTCAAAAAAATAATAATGAAGTAAATAAATAAAATAAAATCTTTCAAGTCTAAAAAATAATAATAAAGTAAATAAAGGAAAATCTTTCAAGTCTGATTTGAAAGATTCTAGTCCACATTATATCAAATATATTAAAATATACCCACAATCCTCCATGGCATATAATTTTTACCATAAATAGTTTGAAAGGAATATTATGATTTTTGCATTTTTTTGATTTTACATTAAAAGTTGCTTTTTAAAGAGTGATTAATTTTATTTACTATGATTTTCAGCAATCGCTATAAAGTTTAGAGAACTGTTTCAAGAGAATTTAACACACAATTTCTCCCTAAAATTAAGGAACTTTTTATGTTTACTAAACTTAACATAAAAATCATCTTATGCTTCAGTTTCATATATTTACTTGTATGCTCACTAATTTCAATCTTATGTTTTTATATTTTAGAAGAAATATTTATTTTTCAGATGTAAAATATAAAGGTTTGGGGGCCTCACCACTGCCCATATCGCTCACTGGATTCTGTAGGAAATCAATTAACATTTTTTCTGGGTAGCTATTAAAAGAACACAGATGTTCTTTCTGGGCGTAAAGGTGTGTGTAATATGAATAATTTTCTCACTGGAGGCATAACTGAGGTGTGAGACCTATAGGGAATTGAAAGCAGCAGAATTGGACCTACAGCCTCGTTTATGGCTTTGTCTTCAGTGACGTTCTCATTACTTATAATTCCCAAGTGTAGAATATTGGTTTCTCATATTTCGCTTTGGAAATGTCTAATTTGTTACCTTTCAGGACAGAACAGGTTATTCTCATTTCCTAGAGAATAATTAATGTACTAACTTTGATTTGTTGACCGTCTACAATGGGTCAGGCATTCTATAGAGTCGTTTCTCAGTTTTTTTTAAAAAAACCTAAAGCTCCCATTTGATAAAATAGAAAATTGAAAAATTGTTTTAACGTCATTTGTAATTTTGAAAGCCATTAAATTTTTGTGACCTCGATGAAGTCAGCACAATGGCAATTTTAGAATATTCTGGTTTCAAACCACATGTCTCTCCGTCCTCTTGACCGTCTTCCTTTTCCACCCCACGCCCTGGTCTCCTGCCCCAAATGCCCTGATGCTGTGGTGTAGCTCTCCTACAGGGGTAAGAGTGTGGAAGGACTCATGTTTTTCTGTCCTTTAAATCTACTATCTCACTGAATAAGCCGAAACTTAAAATCTCGGAGATGTTAAAGACTTGACCCATGTCACATAACTATTAGCAACAGGGTCCACGATTCTTGGAAACTGTCACATCATTGGAGATCATATCATAGACTATTCAGGGGAATGATCTGGAGTATCCATGTTAATCTGTTTAGTCTGGGACAACCCTGACTGTGGTATTGGGATTGGTTTGAGTATTGTGGAGAAAGGCTGCAAAGAAATACCAAAATGATTCCTGAAAAATTCCGTGGTGGGGGGCAGCCCTCTATGTTTCAAAAACATTATCAAGACTTTAAAGATAATCTCATTTTCATCCTGGATTCTAAATTTGCTATTATACCTTAGGTTCTCTAGTAAGAGATGGACCTTTGTGTTGGAAAGTAGTATGCATGTTAGTGATACATAATGTGGTAATCACGTGCCTATTCCAAAAATAATCATAAAATGGTCTGAAAAGAATAAATACGCTTATAGGACCAGGGATGCATAATATTTGAAATTAAGATGGTCCTAAAAAAGTTAGGATGTATGATCACTCTAAGAATGTGTATAGAGGCTACATTGGAGTTAAGGAAACGGTGTGTTAAATCTTCACATGTTATCATTTAAAAATTACTGATGATTTTGAAAGCGAGGAAGATAGCCTGTCTGATGTAATGCTTATTTTACTGTAAAGAGCACGTTTGCTCTGTTTTAGCTTAGAAATGTGGGGCGATTTGAGAATACGCCCCATGAATGTGTCTGCTTAGGACTTGAAAATGGAACTATCAAGGGCCACTGAAGATAGAAATGCCACATCAGGAAGAAGTGGGAATAAGTCCTGGGTGTAAATATGAGAACATAGGCAGACACATAAACATTGCACCAAAGAATATCAGTGTAAAAAAAAAGTATGAAAGCTGCCCCTCCAGCCCTCGCCCTGAAGCTCGACGACTCCTATCTCCCTGTGTGTCCCTGGCTCTCCTTGAGCAGCTGCCCCAGCGCTGGAGCTCAGAGTGAGTGACTCTGTCAGCAAGTATGTTTGAGCATGGGCCCTTTAAAAGGAAGGTCTCTGCTTCCCTGAGCCCTCTGTCTCTCTCAGCTGCAACCTCCACTGGCGTTCGCAGCTATGAGTTGTGGAGACTTCTTTCCTCAGCTCTGGAACCCTGGGTTGGCGCGCCCAGTGTGGGGTCAGGACCCCTTGCTCCTCAGGTAGGGGATGGGGCTCAGCATCCAAGATAACTCTCCTGATTCTTGACCACCATATGTGGTTTTGAGACTGGGCCAACCAGGTGGTTTCACTTCTCTGCCCCTTTACCGATTTGAGGTGACTTCTTATTTTTGTCCCTAGTTGTAGGGGAAGTTTTTCTGTTCGGCCAGACCTCAGGTGACTTCACGTGCTGGTTGCTCTGTAGTTTCATAATAATTTTGGTGTGGTCATGAGAGGAGGTATACACAGCCTCTACCTTCTAGGCCATCTTGACCGGTCACCTTAAATTTCCATTCTTACCTTTAAGATCTTCAGTTCCCAGAGTAAAGGAAAAAGGGAAACTTTTTCTTGTTAACAGTATTCCAGATTGCTTTTCTTAATATAATTTTTTAAAAAGTCATACTTACTGTCTTTGATTTTTCTGATCAGCCTACTTAGAAATAGAGGAAAGACCAGAGGGAAGAAGGAGACAATAATAATATTCTCTTTCACTCGTCTAGACCTTTATAGTTTACAAAACAATTTCACATTAACAACAACGCCTCATGTGTGAGATGGTTAAGACCTTTATTTTACAGATACAGTAACTAAAGCTCAGAGCAGATACATGAGTGACCCAAAGTCATGCAGTTAGTAAGAAGTAGAATTGGATCATCTCTTCTAGGCTAGTATCATAAATTGCCTCTTGGTGCCAAGGAAGAGATTATTGTGGGTGAAGTTAATGGGAGAGGTAGTATTTATGCTTTTTCTTGGCCATTTTACCCTAAATCATGCCATCTCACTCTGCCAAAACAAATTTCCTAATGATGTGTGTGGAAAGGAGAGGAGATAAAATGAAGGAGAAGAGGTGATAAGGAGATGAAGCAAGAAAAGAGAGAAAAGACAGAGAACGAGAAAAAGATAAAGATAGGAAGCTCTATTTTTTCATTTTGTCTACTGTCAATGTCAAAAGCAATAACATCCACTGGGAGAACTTGATTAGAACTCAATTCTTGGGGGGGCTGTGTTTGCTGAAGCACCTTGCTTCTCTGGAGAAAAATGGAAGAAATTGCTTCAATGCATAATTCGGTTTATGGCAAACGTAAGAGGGACAGCATCACTCCTTTGTGCGTGTGTGTGTGCGTGTGCGTGTGTGTTTAAAGCCCTCTACAAATGCTCAGAACTCTTGGGGAACTTTTACTGTTTCTCCTCATTTAACTGTGAGAATAAAGTAGTTTGGTCTTCCAAAAAAAAAATATATATATATATGTCATCACCTGGTTGCCCAAGGAGATAGTTTTAGAGTTTCGATAACAAGAATGCGCAACCACAGAAACTTTTCTTTTTGTTCTGAGTTAGTTGATGGTTACATCCAAGGCTGAAGACATGAAGCTTTGAATTGAAAAAGTAAAAGAATATAAAAACCATCATATTAATTTCCTTGTTGCTCTCTAGGCTGCACTCCATTTCGCGATGGCCTCCCTTGCCACAGAAAATGCAGAATTTTGCTTCAACCTGTTCCGAGACTTGGATAGCAATCATGCAGATGGCAACGTCTTCTTCTCCTCTCTGAGTATCCTCACTGCCCTGGCCATGATCCGCTTGGGAGCGCGGGGTGATGGTGCTTCTCAGCTTGATAAGGTCAGTCCTGGTGGTGGCTTCTGCAACGAATCCTTAGGGCAAATTTTTGTCCCTGAGAGGATATTTTACTGCAATAGTCACAGGTAAATGAAGACATCTCAGTGAGCCCCGCTCTGGGGGTGAAGAGGGCATGGAGCTCACGGCATTTGTTTCTCGGCTGGAACACAACAGAGATAGTTCTCGAACTGCAGCTTTGGCTTTTTTCCTCGGTGCTGTGGTTCTTGAAGTGTGTTTCCCAGACCGGCTGTGTCAGCATCACCTGGAGGAGAACTTGCTAGAAATACAAAGGCTTGGGCTCCCAACTAACCTACTGAATCACACACCCTGGGGATGGAGCCCAGTTTAATAACTGCGTGTTATTAAACTCTGCAGGTGCACACAAAGTTTGAGAACCACTGCCTGAGTAGATAAGAAGGAGAAAGAAGAGCTCCGAGGAGATACTAATGAGGTCCTAGTTTAAACAGTAGTGACCTGGGCACAACCACTACCTACAGAAAGTGCTAACACACTCTCGTAGAGTGCCCTGAGCCTGGCCGCACAGAAAAGTGAAATGGTCACACTTTCTCTCCTTTCTCTTAGGAATGTGTCATTGAAACTCAGTAGCAAGAAAGACAGTGGGTCCAGACAGGACCTAGAGGCCATTGCCATCCCTTGCTGCCCACCGATTCCTTCGTTATGTTAGTTCATGAATGAATACAAGAGGAAGCTTGTCCTGTTATAACCTTTGACATCTAAGTACTTTTCGAAGATTATTTGCGTAGATAATTTAAGCTAGAATAATTCTTTTCTCTCCCTAGCTTTCTCTCTCTGAATATATGTAGCTGGGGAGTAACCATAGAGTCTAAGAATACCATTTTTCCAAGTGCTGGAGTGATTCACAACCCCAGTGCAGTGAACACATCACTTTAATGGGGTGATAGTAACAGCCAACCTCTCAGAACTTCATGTGTCAGGCTTTGGGATAAGCTGTACAGATATCTTATTAGATACAATAACACAGAAGCAGGGAAGATTACCCTGATTTTATGCATGGGTTGCCATGCCATCTCTGTGCTGGTAATGGCAGAGCTGCAATTCAAACTCAGGGTGATCTTCTAAAGCGGGATTTCTTAACCACAATCCTACTGACATTTTGGGCCAGATAATTCTTTGTTTAGAAGGGCTGTTCTGTGCATTGTATGTAGGAGGTTTAGCAGCACCCCTGGGCTCTTCCCACGAGGTACCATCGGCACACCTCTCCACAGTCGTGACAATCAAACATGTCTCCAGCCACCACCATATATCCCCCAGGGGTCGGAATCAAACCCCAGTTGAGAACCATTTGCCTGAAAACTACCAAAAGGAAATGAAACCCAAAGAACATTATTGCGGAGCCCCAGTTATTTTGAAGTTAGTATTTTGATAAATAAATATATAAAGGCTTTGGAAAAAGTCTAGCAACTAATAAGAATGTATCCATTCATTAATAAAAATACATAATATTTTAGAACCAAATGAGGCCACTTGGCATCATGGAAACAGAACACTGCTCTGGGAGTTGGAAGATTAAATCCGAATTCTGGCCTTGGGAAAATGAGTTTATCTTTGTGGGCCTCGGTGTCCTTACCTGCAAACTAGGGGGTCGATTTGATGATATCCAATTTTAAAAAAATAGCTTAAAGCTTGTTCCTATTCAGTATGTTAGACAATGGTGTTTAGGCTCCGCACCTGAGACGAAAAGTGAGTCTTCAACACAACAGAAGACACAGGTGTTTCTTATTGTGCAATTTCAGGTCGGGGACATTCTCTGGTTGTTGCCTTATTCATCTGCTGGTGTCTCCTTGCCCCTCAGGAGCCGGAGGAGCGGGGCTCAGCCACTCAGGGGAGATGGGTCTCAGTGAATCCAAACAGCTGCCAGTCTGCTGGGGTCCCTTCTGTCATGGTCACTGCCCCATCAGTGCCTTTCAGGGGTTACTTTTGATAACCCTTGCTATTTTAACCACCTATAAGAAATATGCAAGAAAAATGGCAACTACAGACACAAAAACATTCACATAATTTATTTGTACAAATTTTCAGTCCTCTGCAAAATACCTTCTTGGAAATACATTTTCAGCCCTGCCCACCCTGTCCCTGTTAGTGTCTCATTGCCATACCTAACACTTGGCACTGTTGGTCACACATGTGTATTTTAGATAAATCCACTCCTAATCGATTCGGTTAAAATTTATGGCATCCATCTTTATGTTCCTTTTAAGCATAACCATAGACCAACAGCTTTTATTTATTTATTTATTTTGATGCTCAAATGGTCACAGTTGGGCCAGTACAAATCCCTTTAAACTTTTCCTTTTAAAAAAATCCTTCCAGATGACTCTCAAATATCTTTGCTTACTGACAATAAGGTGTTCTAGACCAGATAGAGTGCAATAGAAAATCAATAGTTGATTTTGAATTGCAGGTCTGCCATTACGAGCACAGAGATGGCATGGCAACCCATCCACAAAATCAGGGTAATCTTACCTACTTCTGTGTTAATCTGAGTATAGAATGAGATACCTGTAGAGCTTATCTCAAAGCCTGCATAGTAACAATTATTAGAATAATGAGGTCGTGAGACCCATACTGGAAAAGAAAAACCTATAACTGCTTCATTTCAAATAATTGCAAGATCATAAATTATATCTCTCAAGTCCCAATTTAGCTTCATCCTTCGGATTTCCTAGAGAGTCAATAAACTCTTCTCCCCTTTATGCCTCGGTGCCCACCTAGCCAGCCCTGATCTTGCGTCCCACTTAATTAAACAAAGTTTTTATTTTTTATTTGACCCTTTTCCATCCTTGTCCAGGTGTAATCAGTAAGAAATTATTAAATCGCTCCCAAGAAGGAGCAAACTAAAATAAACACATTTTATTTGCAGCCACTGATTGATTTATTAACTCTTCCGGTTTGTGATCCTGTTCCCAAGGAACTGTCTGTTTTAACCAAGTCAGTAGGGTAGCTGCATGTTTCTTTCCTGCCCTATGTGCACACACACATGCACACACACACACACGTGCACATGCACGCGCACACACACGCACCGAAGTCTCCGAGTCTTGCTTCGCCTCCCCAGGCCCCTTCTCGGTCAGCGTGGCGTGCTAACTGCTGTCCTTGTCCCCGTGTGCAGGTGCTTCACTTCAACGCTGTCTCAGGACATGGAAACTCCTCTAATGCTCAGGTAAAAACACTTTCTTTTAGGAAAAGAGACCGTGAGACTAAATTTAGAAAAACAACTGTCTCGCTTACATATTTAATGCTGCTGTCTATCCTTTTAAGGCAAAGGAACATGTCTCATCAGACCTCCACACTGTGGATACCTCGAATACAACTTTTGATAATTTACTTGTTAATGATCAATTTACCAATATCTTACTTGCGTGTCGGCCGGATTTTGGCAAGATAGTGTGGAATTAAATGTTTTGCTTTTGTCTTTGATATTCACGGCCAACTTAACAATTGTAAAATAAATGATTTAGTACACATATGAGGCAAATTTATCAACTTCTGTTAATAATTTTATTCTAAGGTTCATTTTTAAAAATAATGTATTTAGAAAGATATTTTTATTGATTGATTGCTTTAAATTTTTCTTTTTTTGAAAATTTTATTTTAAATTTTAAAAAGTTAGACATTTATACAATCCATAAAGTGATCTCCCACTTACTTTAGCATCCATCCGGCACTACGCAAACCATTACAGTAATATCGACTATACGCCCTTAATTATTTATTTTAGTAAATCTTTTAACTAATTTTGATCACGGACATTATTATGAGAAAGAGTAAAAAATGATTGATGTATGTGGCCTTGTTTGCTGCTTTTACGGTGTTATTATTTTTCAATTCTTCTATACATGTTTTATGTCCTGTGTAAGAGTATGCATA